AAAAAAAACCATCTAGAGCTAATTTACTGTCAATATAATGTACTAATAATGAAGACTTCTGTAGAGTAAGTAATAAACCCAAAGAGCTTTAGGTTACAATTTCATGATCTCTGGTGTTAAACATTTTTTCAGCATGTAATAAAATTTTATAAAAAATTAGGAACAGAAGAAAAAAGGCTGTAGAAGAAGTTCTGTGGAATCTTTGTGAGGCAACAGCAAAAACGTAATCTAATGTAAATTCCAGAAATAAAAGATGTGAACTAGAGTTGCCATAACCTTGTGAACCACCATTAATGTTAATACAGGATTATAGCTGCTGTGTAGATGATCATAATGAGGATAAGACTCTATTAGCCCAAAGGTAGCTATGAAAAGCAGAACAGGAGAGACTACATGAATAAATAAGTCATGCTAGTCATGTTTTTGCAATTACCTTCTGTCTATTTAAAAACAAAATTCTTTCTCCATTAGCCTTACAGACACTCACAGTACCTGACACTTCTGAGGTAAGTACCATAGGAGACATGTATTTCTTTGTCTTTGAAATTAAATCCTAAAACAATGGACAGCATCATTTTTCAATGCCATTTTATTCCTGTAATGTTTATGCATTAAGAAAAGCTTATATGATTGCATGTCATTGCTGCACAGTGCAGAATGTGTCTGACTCTACATTTAGTAATTGCCTTTTTTTCTTTTTAATAATTTTCTAATAATTTAATATTTTTAATAATTTTTAATAATTTTTCTTTTTAATAATAATTCTAATTAATTTTTTTCTTTTTAGTAATTTAATAATGTCTTTTAAATAATTTTTTAGTAATTGCCTTTTTTTAGTTTTCTAATCCCCTGGTTAAACTAAACTATCTACAGGTCACTGAAACTGCAGGTTTTGGTGATATCACTAACTGTGACAGAAGTAAAGTTGGAGGCAACAGAAGTCAGTAAGTTCTGAGTTACCAGCAGCTGACTCCTAAGACCTAGATGGAGCACAAATCCATACACTGCCCTCAATACTCCGCTGCTCACTTACAGCTGACCATAAACAGAAACACAGGAAAACTGAGGTAGGAAAGGACCTCTTAAGATAAGTCCAACCATCACCTAATACTGCAAGGTCCACCACCAGACCATGTCCCCAAGCACCATATCTAGATGTTTTTTATATTATATATCTAATATAAAACCACATATATAATATTTCGTGCCTGTTAGGTTTCCCTTCTAAAAAAATTTATGAGGTCACGTTATTTTTACACCCAACTGTGAGCATACAACTATTTTCAAATAATAACCCTAATTACAGAATCACAGAATTAACTAGGTTGGAAAAAACCTTTGAGATCATCGAGTCCCGTTCCATTCAGCCTGTATTTTCACCATTGATACAAGGACTCTGATGTGGCATTCATAGGTTGTCTTTCAACCTATGCTACGTACAATATGGGTGCTATTGTTTACAGTTTGAAATTCAAGTCCATTTCCACTATTAGAAAATACACAAAGTCTGCAGGGCATTTGTAAACAAGAAATTAATTTGGGGAATACATGGAACAATGTTTTGGCATTACAAAAAATCACTATGGAACAAGCTATCCCCTATTATTTTGGTATCACTGTGTTTCCCATGATTTCTGTATTCAAGCTCAGTACTGGAAATGGAATTTTCTTGTTTCACTTTTGGTTTTGGTTTGCCATTAATTTTCCAGAGTGCTGCTAAAGCTCATTTTGTTGTATTTGGAGCACAAGCATCTTTACACAGCACAGCCAAAGACATTATTACAATTTTTGGGGTTTTTTTTAAGGTGTAATGTTAACCTTTTTCAGAAAGAGGAATTAATAGAAATGGAGTAAGAATGCAATATCTCCTCTAGCTCCACATAAATTCACAGAGTTTTTTTGTCAGTCCAAGACTAAGTGCAGAAAATGCATCACTAGGTCTTCAGTAGCAGTGCTTTGATTCTCTGATTACCCCAACCCACACTTCCCATGCTAGTCAATGTTATGATTTCCATCCCTAAACTATACTCTTTAAGTATCCAGGTCCTCAGGCATTCATCTGGAGAATAAAAAGGAAAGCAGAGTTTCAGTCGTCTTTTGTTTTCATTTTTCTCTTTCATCACCACCTCTGTAATGGGAATGAGGCAGGACAAGTGCTACAACAAAAGACAGATCCAACTCTCAACTAGTTCTGAAGCATTTTCCACTGGCAGAACATAGAACAGTTACTGAAATTACAGTGCAAAAGAAACTATATAATAAAAGTAATAGTCACTAACACAGAAAGATAAAATCTCATGGTTAAGGATTAATGATCTGCCTTCTGGTTATGCTTGATTTTAGTTGTGTCATTGAACTTGTATGCACAGCGCCCTAAATCCATTTGTCAGTGCGTACTTTTGGCACCAGTCTTGTCTTATGACAGGAACATGACAGGCAAAATGGCTTTGAGCTGAAATATTAGTGCCAATTTACATGGTAGATTCTGTATTTTACATTCTTTTTCTGCAAATATTAATTTATTGAAGGCATGTCATAAAGCAGACCTCAGACTTATACTGCTTTTTTTATAGCACATTCTCTAGAAAAAACAAAATGCCCAAGTACTTTCCTTTCAAGAAATGTGGTAACTTGCTTTCCTAGTTATCCTTGCTATATCAGGTTCTTGTGCTAAATATCTCTAAAAAGCTCTCAGGTACCACGGTTCCCAATAATGAATACAAATACACAACTTACTTATTTGGAAACATTTTTTTTTAATGAGGAAGAAACCCCATCCCAGGGATAATTGCCCCCAAGTGGTACAGCTATCATACACTGTATGATTTATCCTTCCATAGATTTAAAGTAAGTTTGACATTTTAGAAAGTAATTTTTAGTCTGGAAGAGAATATCTTAAGATAGTTACCAGACAAATTATCATTTGTTGCCTGAAGGTGAAACTGCTGCTTATCAGACATGACAAGATGTGTAAGTGCTGCTCATCTTAAGTTCCCACTTTTATGTATGGTAACACATTTAATTAATCACATACATTTATATTCCTCCCCCAAATACTAGGCTGCTGTACCAAAATATTTATGCAAATCTCATAATAATGAAGAAGATAGCTATACATCTTTATTTAAGAGTTAATTGGTTTTTGTCAAAGGGAAAAAAAAGCCAAGGAGAAGAAATACAAGAAAGAATATCATAATTAAAAAAAAAACCACCTATACAGCTCAAGTGCAGAGGATGACTGACTATCATTCTTCAACAACTTTATTCACAGTAGCAGATTTCATTAGTTTTATAATCACAGATAAGACACAGATTTTTAATAATGAGATGTCAATGTGTGGAAGAAGAGGTTTGCAGACCAGTATTCTTTCAGACATTTTCATGGCATATGCCAAGTGCAGAGAAACACCAGAACTGCCTATTCAGAGGCAGTTTAACTTATTCAAGCACTTCTGGATACAGAGGACTAGAGGCTGGTTTCTCAAAAGGCTATAGCACAGAAGTACTGACACATTTTACCAAGTATATTAAACACAAAATCTATTATGATAATTTATAAAAAAAAAGAAGGAAGAATACTGTATTTCAGTCACATATCAAAAATCTAATTCTAATCCCTATTCTGTATTCTCATGTCCCTATGTGCAACATCAAGGAGACCCCAAATTCTCCAAAGGCTCTGACTCTAGACCAGTCTTAAACAGAAACATACTGTCTAGCTGGCCCTTATCCTTCAGTACTTCTCTCACGACAGAGGCACAAGCACTTCCTACCTGAAGAAAAGGACAATAAGAGCAAGATGAACAATTCTACAGCCACATTAATTAGGAGCAATATGCTCCTGAGATCCCAGAGTGCAGCTCAGCTTGCACGACCTACGAAAGAAAAGTCTGCCATCCTGTAGAACACAGATCCAGTGAGCTTAATCTAAATGAATGCTATCATACCCATGTGCTGCTAATAATTAATACAGTGCTTTTTTTCCAGAGGTAATAATTTTTGGGAATGATGGTTTCTTCCTGCAAAACAGTTATTAATAAACCGACAATCATTATTTTAAGAGTAGTGATGTGATATACAGTTTTATAATTATACTCTGCTTTCTGAAATTGTATTTTAATTACATATAGAAAGATTACTAATTTTTGGCTTCAGCCTGTGCACTAACAGTAAATACCAACAGCTGCCATATACAAGTTGCAAATTGGCTATGAGTTAGCAATTCCTATTTTTATTTCAGTTTTGTAATGAAAGGGGGACATTGAAGTGTCCTTAAGTCATTCTGTAAAACTTTCTTTTCACTGAAATTACAGATTTCTTCTAGATCTATCTATTCAATCAGTTGAATTCAGGAGCAAAATGCAACACTGGAGATGAAAATTACTAGGACAGTTGTTAATCAATATGAATCTTGACAGTATTATAATGTTTGAATTTATTGACTCAAACCAGTTTTCATCTTTTTCTTTCCTCATGCTTTCTCTGAAACTGCCCTTCTCTGCCTGCAAGACTGGAATATCCCATTTCCTATTGTCAAGTTCATTGATCTATTTTGGCAATTTTGATTGGTGTCCCAGATTAGTTTATGTTTTTTATATATATATATTTTTTTTTTCCACTGAAAGAAACCATGATAAGCAAACTCCATATTACTGTTTAGTACTGTATTACCACAAACTCACTTTCAGTGCCTGACAGGTAAATGATCCTAGGAATTAACACCCTCATTTATTTTAAATGCAAATCCATCTTCATTGTAGATTTGTCGTGCAGACATGATCCGTTTACCAAGTGATAGAATTTTGTTACGCAGTAAAATGTAGCTGCTTCCCAACTAAAAAACCAATTTATTGACATCAGAAACAGTTTTACAATTATCCTCAAAATTTGTTGTAATCTTCCAATGAGTTTGAAATCCTCCTTAGTTTCAGTCTGATGCTCTTACAGGACAAACTTTCAAAGATGTTAAAAAAAATCCTGACCCAAGAGTGAAATCATACCTTGGTGCTTGTCACTTGAAATGGAACTCTGGAGCCCTTTGTATTTGAGGAAGTCAGCTTCTCAGCTGGTTTTGAAGAGATTGCATTCCTTGTGGGAGGCTGATTGCGCAGAACAGAAGACAGGCAAAGCTGCATAGTCTCCTTCAGAGCTTTCAGCTGTGACTCCTGGGGAAAACAAGACACCATCACTTCTCTAAGATGTGCTATGATGAACACAATGGCTTACTTTCTCCATCTGTATTAAACCATACACTTATGAGTAGCTGCTGCTTTTTCTTAGTGATGGAAGGAATTAAGACTAAAGCAGAATTTTTATGTGATTAGGTTACCGTACTTTAGACACCAAACTGCCTAGGAAGTCACTGCACCTCTTCCCATCCCTTCATGCAGTTTTATCCATATTGATTATTGCAAACAGTACTTAAATATAATTTTTTTCTGATAAGAAAAACACAATTTATAAAATATCATACAGTGTCCAGTCTTTTATGTATAATATCTACAGAGAAGTCATAAGTGTTGCAAGACACAGACTTTGCATGGAGTTTTCTCTATAACATTTTTAATAATTGGTATTTTTCCACATTATAGATAGATTATAATCCAACTAAGATGGCCTTCCTCATGGGCATATTATACTTTTGCACTATATAGTAAAAAACCATAGGTCTTTTTAACAGTTAAAAATATATTTGTCCAGACCCACTACTGTCCATTAAGCCAAAATAAAACTTTTAAGTGGTGAAGTGCTTGTGACTCATGTTAGAACATTTGTATTTTACTCCCAGAAACATAGATACATATATTAATGGAAACAGAAGTCTGTAATTGAAATAAGCTGAGAGAGCAAGAACAATGAGATAACTACAGCAGTGAGGAAGTCATATTTTAAATCTTTAATTCATCAAAGCAAGACATGTGTCAAATGTTAGCCATTGAGGTAACTTCTTACTCACTTCAGGGGGAGTTACCAGCATCTGACATTAAAAAACCCTAATTTCTAGGTTTTTTCTTTTTATTAAAAATGCACCTGTAAATACAGAATATGTTCACATTTCAATCATCAAAGATTTTTTTTAAGGCACAAAAATCAAGGTATACCATGGCAAAAGCTGGTGGAAAACAAGTATATAATGTTATATACTACATATAAATTACGTGAAATATTACATATAAAATAAAAATATTTCATAGTCATATTAATCCTAAGCAATGGCATACAGCACGTTTTAGTTTATTTTCTTAGCAAATATTTTTGAGAACATGACAAATATTTTGTTTTACATCAGATGGACTCCCCTGAACTGAAAGCAGGGACTGTATCTCTGAGTGTTTCTTAAAAAACAAACAAAGCCAGTTAGTAGAGTGTATTTTAAGAGTAGGACAAAAGACAACCATAGAAAGACCATTAATGCAGACAATAGGGAACATTAAAGAAATAGGAGATGGAACATGTTATGACCTGCCCCTTAAGCCAAGTTGGTAACTCAGGTTCTTGTTAATAGATCCCCGGGGCAGATTAGAGTGAAAAAACACAGAATTATTTGTGGTTTTTATATATGTATAGGTTTTCTTTTAGAACAATTTGGTTGCAATGGAAAACAAATATGTAACTGCTTTGGTTATTACCTGCAGTAACATATCAATATAAAAGCATAGAAATGGGAAGGGAGAAGAAAGAAAGAAAAAGAAAGAGAAGAAAGAAAGAGAAGAAAAAGAAAGAAAGAAAGAAAGAAAGAAAGAAAGAAAGAAAGAAAGAAAGAAAGAATATCACTACCCATGGATCCAGTTATGAGACTTGATCATTGCAACTGTGATGTCCATTGGTCAAAGTGATATTCACAGTCTTGGTTCCTCAGAGATGAGGGAAAGCCCACAAAACACAGAGTTCAATGTTTAGGCTAATGTGGGAGTGCCCAGGGTACCTCTCCTTAGGGAGCAATTTACCCTGTCTGGTGCAACATAATGGATAATGGAAGGTCCCAGAAAGAGTCTGGGGACACTCTGGGCATCTTTGATGGTTTACTACACCTTCTAAGACATGACAGCTGCCTCTCACATCAGCATAGTTGAGCCAGTTATGCCCCATCAGAAGGGATGAATACCCTCAAGCCCACTGAATGTCCCGTGTGAATGTGAGTGCTCCCACACCTTCCCTGGGGAGAGGAGTTTTACAACTGAGCCAATCATACAAAGAATTCACAGAATCCCTAGGTTGGAAGAGACCTTCAAGACCATCGAGTCCAACCCATGTCCTAACACCTCAAACACACCATGGCACTGAGTGCCACATCCAGTCTCTTTTTAAACACATCCAGGGATGGTGACTGCACCACCTGGGCCTGGGCAGACCAATACAGTACTTTATCACCATTTCCATGAAAAACTTTTCCCTAATATCCAACCTATATTTCCCTTGGTACATCTTAAGACTGTCCTTTTGTTCTGTCAGTGCTGCCTGGAGAAACAGCCCAACCCCACCTGAGCACAGCCACCTTTCAGGAAGTTGCAGAGTGATAAGGTCACCCCTGAGTCTCCTTTTCTGAACATCCCCAGCTCCCTCAGTCGTTCCTCTCAGGGTTTGTGTTCCCAGCCCCTCTCCAGCCTCGTTGCCTCCTCTGGATGTGCTCCAGCGTGTCAGCGTCCTTCCCAAACTGAGGGGCCAGAACTGGACACAGCACTCAAGGTGTGGCCTCACCAGTGCCAAGTACAGGGGAAGAATGACCTCCCTGCTCCTGCTGGCCACACCATTCCTGATCCAGGCCAGGATGGCCTTCCTGGCCACCAGGGCACACTGCTGGCTTGTGTTCAGTTGGCTGTGACCCCCAGGTCCCATTCTGCCTGGGCTCTGTCCTGATGGACACTGTCCCCAGCCTATGGCATTGCAGGGGGTTATTGTGGCCAAAATGCAGGACTGGGCACTTGGACTCATTAAACTTCATCCCACTGGACTCTGCCCATCCATCCAATTGTTCAGGTATCTCTGCAAAGCCTCCCACCTTCCAACAGATCGACACACTCTCCCAGCTCGGTGTTGTCTGCAGATTTACTAATGAAAGACTCAATCCCCTCATCCACGTCATCAATAAAGATATTGAACAGAGCTGGGCCAGCACAGAGCCCTGAGGGACAGCCCTGGTGCCTG